TTTACCCTTCCTTATTTTAAAAACCCCAACCCCCCCCCCATTAGGTTTAAAAAATAGAAACCCCCCCCCCCCCCCCTGAAACATTGAGTCGCACCTCGGCAAGTAGAGCAAGTCGCCGGGCTCCAGCACTACCTCCAGTGCCGGTTCTCCCACCTGTGCAGGTTTGGGACAAGCGATATCACCACAGAAGGGCGAGACGAGTTTTGCACCGATGAGCAGCCAACATTTTGGAGCCATGCATCAAGGAAAATACTGACGATGTTGCCGCGGGAACAGTACGCAAACATGGAAGTACTTTGTGGGCAACCTATTGTACCCCTGGCGAGTTTACTGGGAGTCACGGTATTTCGTGACAAGACACGTCAGCACAATACAGATGGCGGTGGTAGAACATTACAGATGGCTGGAGATACTGCACCTGCGTGCACCCTGAGCATGTGTCACAGCCAAAAACGGGTGACAATCCTCCTGAAAGACATGACTACACGGAAGGAGGAAAATCCTTAGCAGCCATCTTTCGCCAAGCGCTTTCTTAGCACCTGTTCGTCCGTCAGGTTGGGCGACGACAGCCTGGGAAGAACGGCCTGGTCATCCGTGGGGGGGTACACCCTCCAACGCTTCCGGCCTTCCACCTGCCGCGTACAACCAGACGCAAAGATCGCGGGGCACGCATGTTTTGCATGCCTTAGCGGTTAGGCCATTGACCACGCGTCCTCCAGAGAGAGGGGGGAGCATTGTTCCTACAGGACCGACCGAATCACCGATGGTCAATCGTTCCTTGCGGGGGGCAACGGTGACTCCGTCCTCCATCACCCATCGTTTATCGCTTTGCCCAGCGTCGATTTTTTTTGAAAAAAACAAAGAAACAAAGCCCCCCCCCACTCCCACCTGCAGCAAGAAGGCCTCGATGTCGTCCCAGTGGGGCGCGAACCCCTGGCTCCTCGGAGGTGTGAGGTAGACGTTAGAACCAACCATGCACCCGAACTCCTCCTCCAGCGCCGACAGCAGCAGGTGCAGGGGGTCGCTGAACTTCTGGGGGCACGGCATCCGCAGCGAGCACCCCTCCCTGAACTTCTGCCACACGAACTTGGGGGTAACCACGGCGCCCCCTGCCCTCCCTGTTGCGGCAAGATGGGCGTCGCCACTCGCGCCGTTGCCGCTGGTGGAAGGACCGCCTTTACCCTTGCCCTTGTGGCCGCCTTTTTTCGGCGGCGGCGACGGCGATTGCTCCGGAGGTGGTGCGGGTGCGGCAGGGTTGAGGGTGACGCGGCGCTTGTTGACGTAGTTGGTGACGTCGAGGTCGGTGCCATATTGCATGGACTGCCCCGAGATGAATGCCTCCAAGTCGGAGGTTTCCAGCCAGCCGGAGAAGTAGTCCGCCCGCCGCCCGCGCACGACGAAGGGATTCCGTTCCCTGATATTTGTTTTTTAGAACATGTTATGTTAGACAATATACGTGCGACCACTGAAAGAATAAGACTGCCCGTTCGAGACAAAGCCACAGCAGTCGAAGGCGGGGTGTACTTTCCACTAAGTGGGGGAGAAACCTGCTTGGATACTGGGCATATTGGAGCCTACAACCTGACGTATCAGCCTGTCAGCTGGTTGCCAAATGACACTTTCAAGGTCCCGTAGTTACAGTCTTTGTAGAGCTACTGGGTAACGAATGTGATGGTGAGTGATACCAAGGCACGAGCACGAAGAGGCCAGCCACCTTGCAGTTCACGACCGCCAAAGGCTCAATCAAGATTGACGGAAATTTAAACTGCTGTAGACGGGGGAAATACAGCCCGTCCTTCTGCTGTACTCCTACATACATAGCTGATGGACGAATTTCACGTGTTGCTACAAACAGAAAGTCTGCTATTGAGAGGAGGCACGCGGTCTTCTAAGGCACAACAACAAGCGTCTTGTTGCCCCCCCCTAAAGCTCCCCGCGTGTCTCACCAGTACGTGCCGTAGAACTCCTCCACCGACAGCGGAGCGATGATCCACTGCAACAGCTGCCGAGCTTTCAAGCCGCTCTTATTTAGGGTTAGGCAAGGGTTGGGGTTCAGGGGTAGGTCAGGCCTGCAATCGTGAGGCCTGTTAATAGCGCCGTGGTGTAGCCTGAGGCTGGAAACCTACTTAGTTGCTTTGGTTTCCTATGCATATCTACCTCCAACAGCAACAAAAAAACTGTTGGAACTGCCGAGTGCAAGCAAGTCGCCAGCGCTGGCGTTGTAGTCTAGTATTGCACTTCGATTGCAACCACATCGCATGGCGACGTGCAGTTGTCATGTCGCTTTGGGCGTCGCTGCTGACGATTTGGCAGGGATGAATTCACAGGTCCCATTCTTTTCCAACCGCGCTGGCAGGGTATCAACTAGACTTTGACATTCGAAAACATGTGCGAATTTCGCGGATACATGACATAACCCACAACCCCGGCAACAAGGCACCGAGTTCTCGCCGCCGTTATGCGCTTGGTACAGCTATTTTAGCCGGCAACGAGAGGTACATTAGTCTACCGCTGTACTTTTGGTATATATGTACGTTGCTGCTGTAGGATGGCTATTTTCGTGCCAGGCATTACAACTGTAATTCGTGGGAGAGGGTCTTGTTCACCTCGACATCCGGGTCCGAAAGCACTCCTTGAGCGTCGAGCTCCAGCAAGAGACGAGACCGATCGTCGGCCGCGGACGCATCGATTGTTGTACGCGCTGGCTTCTGGTGGCCAGAGCGCCTGCTGCTGCCGCTGCCGCTGCCGGCCCCGTCACCGTCTCCGTTGCTGCTGCCACCTCCGGTGGCAGCCCCATTGCCCGATGCTACAGGCGGTTGCCCTGCTGAATTAGACGTAGCAGCGGTGATCGACTTGCGCTTGCGCTTGGCGCTCCCAGCCGCAGTAGCAAGTCGGGTATCATCCCTGCTGCTCCCTGGTTTGGATGGTGGCACCGGATTGCTGCCGGATGGTGATGATGCTGTCGGCTGGGTGCTGCCGCCCGAGGCGCTCGCCTTGCCTTTCTGCTTGCGACGCTTTTTGGCGGCACGGCTGCCTCCTCTTGCAGACTCCACCGCGCCCTTGTCTTTCGCCATGGGAGAGGAGTTTGTTAGCGTGTTAGCGTGCTTGCTGTGCGGTCGGGTGGTTGAAACAGGACTGCGAGAGAGTGAGAACCCACGGGACTGTTATTTATCAGCCCCGGAGTTCGAAAACGATTGGCCTTGCAATTGGTCTCCCCCACACAAGACATCTCCACGATCACACACAAGACACATACATTGCACTGCGACATGCTGTGTGACGCTACCAAGCGGGGCTGGCGGCACCGATGTCTCCTCTCTTTCATCGTGGCGGCGCTGCTGCTGGCTCCGGGGGCGGAGGCCTACATGTCGACCATGCACCTGGGACGCACCATAAAGTCGTTGCGGGCGAGACTAGAGGAGCAGCAGCAGCAGCAGCAAGAAGATCAGCAACGGCAACACCAGCAGCAGCTACCACCAGGGCTGATTGCCTCGCCTAGCCCCGACCAGCCGGGCGTGAGGGGGGATACGGATGGGGAGGTGGCGCATGATGGCGCGGAGCATGAGGCCGCAGCAGATGGGACGACCGTGGCAACTCATCCTTCTTGGGGCTCCCCAACCGACAACGGCAGCAAAGAGCCCGCCCGGCCTGCTGAAGGGCAGCCCGCGCCAACAGCCGCCGACGAGCCAGAAGGTGGGTCACAGCACGTGGAAGATGCTGCCGCTGCCGACAGCGTCATTACCGCGCGAGAGCAACACGGCTCGCTTAAGGAGCAAGAAGACCCGACAGACCGCCGGGTCAAGCTTTCGACGCCAAGAGCCACCGCCGCTGCCGCCGCCACCGCCGCCGCCGCCGGTGCCGGTATTGGGGGGATCTCCTCTCTTCAAGCGACTTCGGACGCTGATGTTTCGGCACGGTTCTCTAAGGAACAGGTGCACGAAGCAAAGGAAAACCAGAGCGTAAGCTCTGGTGCCGCCCAGAGCGGGCGTAGCACGGCTACTACCGGTGACCGCGAGATCGTTGGTACGGCCGCCGCTGCTGGGATACTGGGTGCTTCAGGCTCCACCCCCGCCGAAGAAGAACCCGTAGGAATGTCGAAGGAAGGAGTGGAGACCAGCAGCACAGGCCTTGACGAAGCCGAGGCTACAGCGGCGGAAGCAGCGGCGGCGGCAGCCGCAGCGGCCGGCGCGGACGGAGACCAGGTGAAGGTTTCCAAGAAGGACGAGGAAGAAGGGATTAACGAACGGACTGAAAGAGACGAGGCAATGGAGGAGGAGCTGGAAGCGGCGGCCATCCGGGAGATTCTCGGCCTGCGCTCCGCCCAGGACCGAAAGGTACAGGTGGCCGCCACCCGGGCGGTGGAAGCCTTGCCTCCCACACAGCGGGAGTGCTTCGAGGACGTCAAGGCGTTCGCTTTCGGGGGGGCGATCGAAGGTGAGCAACAAAGACAACAGTGCGCTCGCCCGCAGGTTGGGGGGGGGGGGGGTGTACTCATAGTCGTGCATTCTGTAGTCGTTAGACCATTGACCTCGCATCCCTACAAAGCCGGGACGGAGCACGCCGGGTTCTCACCGGAGTAGGCTCTCACATCACCAAGCGCGAAGCACCTTGAGGTTTTCGGCGAGTCGCATGAAGGGTGCGCTGCATCCTGCTAAGGGTGTTCGGCATCTTGTGCGCATACGGATGACAGCTGCGAATGACTTAATTTTTTTTCTGGTGCTTATACTTCCAGAAAGGGTAATAAAAGAACTGTGTAGCTGCCTCGAGGGTGCTTGACCAATTTCAAACAAATGATGCGATGATCCCCTGTGCACGGAGTGAGGGTTCTCGACCCCTCACAATATGATCTACTGGACCACCATTATGGTTACCGCAGAAAAAAACAAAGGCAAAAGAAAAGCGGTAACCTGGTTGCCGAGCTCAACGAAGTGATCGGCTTGTGTTACAACCTCGCTTGCCAAGCGACGATCGAAACCCAACCCCGATGGCAAACACGCGCGGGGCGGGGGGTTGGGGGGGAGGGGGGGGTACATGGGATGATGCTTGCTATTTGGGAGCGAAACTGGTATCTACCAACAATTAAGCCGTGTCGTTGAACCTTTGTGGCAGATGAGCCTACACGAGGGAACGTACAGCAGCTGTTGTTTCTGTTGTGGTGTTTTGTGAGCGTTTTCCTCGGAGGGAAGGGAGGAAACACCGTATCGGCGGTGACCCATGCGAACAATAATAGTTTTTTCAGATAGAGTTTCACATTAACATAAGTTTCTCCGGGGGAACATTGCGAATCTATTTTGAAAGTTTGTGCGCGGAGCGCAGGTCGTGAGCTGCGGCATCTCTCCGGCTCATCACCGTCGCATCCTCAACACAGGCACCATACGGCAACCATGTCGAATGCCTTCCCCTCGAGACGTCAGAGACAGATTAAGACAGCCAAGTGCCGAGACTGAATTTTTTGTGTCCGAAGTCCCTTGGCCTGTAAACTGCATGGAACGCACGTAAAACGCTCTTTGGTGCTCATGGATGTTCCAGCATTCCGCGTCACAGGCAGGGTTTGTGTGACTGCGGGTTGGGTAGTTTCTCGGGATCGTTGTGTTGTATTTTGGAACGCCTTCCACAGTCAGGTCAGGGCTCCAGTGGATAGCAGTGCTATTGGTTGGTCAACGAGGTTTATTTTGAGTCAGAGGGAACCAAGATGGCCGCCAAGCAATTGGTCTAGCTGTTTTCGTTCTTCAAGCTCGTGTGCTCGTAGTATTCACCGAAAGCTCTACCGCTTTGGACATGTTGCGGGCAATGCACTAGACCGTCTTGATCGAGTGCGCGTAGTTTCGGGGTCGCCATTACAGCCTAGGGAGATGTTATTTCTTTCAAATATCGATGACATGGACTGAAACAGGACTGAATCAAAGTGTTTCCGATGTTCCACCCCGCAACCCTGTCCCAGGTAAGGAAGGGGCGGGTCTCTCCGAGGAGGAAGTGGAGGCGCTGAACACGGTAGCCATCTGTGGCGACCGGGACGGCGTGGTGTTGGCCTTCCTGCGGCATTCGAAGTTCGACGTCCGTAAGGCCAAGGAGTCCATGCGCCGGTGCTGCGCCTGGAGGAAGGAGAACGAGGTATGACTGTAGAGTAGCTGTCCGATGCGGTCGAAGACCCTGTTTAGCGCTGGCGTTCGCACCGTTGGGAGTCGAGGGGTGTGTGGTACGTTTTCGGCGGTTCGTGCCAATCCGCTTCACCAGTTCTCCAAGCAGTTCCCGCACATAATAACCCCGCTACCGCATTACAGAGAACCTTCGCGTCCAACAGGACATTCGGCTATCTTCATTGTTTTGGTTGTACGATCGTGCTCGCGTCTAGCGGGACATACGACCATCGCATTTCCCATTTTGGTTGTACGGTCGTGCTGTTGTGTTTGCTAGACGATCACACGCTCCGAAAACAGCAGTAGAGTTGACAGGCTGAGATCTTGGGGGGCAACGTGACAACCGTGGTAACATTGTAGGTCCCAGAGGTTCATGTGCATGCACCGACTTTTCGACCGGGCAATCTACATGGTATGACAATTAACACGATTGAGAAAAGAATTAGCAAATCTGTGCGTTCCTCTACGACGCCGCTTTTTCCGGATCTAAACCAATGCAGAAATACTTCACCCTTGTTTGTCTTTGGCCAAGACACGTGACAACGCCCCGCCCCTCCCTATTTTCTGTCCCCACCCCCATCCTGATGTATCGCATGTTGCGTGCCCCTCTACCGCTGAATGTGACAACCAGGCGGACGACCTCTTCAAGCGTGCGGTGTCCCCAGCCAAGATGAAAAAGTACCGCACGCACTGGCCTACGGGTTTCCACAAGCAGGACCGCGCGGGGCGGCCGGTATTCTACGACCGGGTCGGGCAGTCCGACCTCTCCAAGCTTCGGGAGGACCCGGACGGGCTCGATCAGGACGAGATGGTTCAGATCTTCACACAAAACATGGAGGTGAAATGTGGTGGGATGATGATTTGTAGTGGGAGAGGGGGCGTCAGTTTTTGGTTCAGAATCGATGAGATGTAGCGTAGTTGTGTGGAATGATGGGTGCGAGTGGTGGTGACAGCGTTTTCAGGCATGCTGGGGCACGTTTTTACAATCCAAGACAGGCATTGGATGGCAGGGGTGGAGGGCAGTAGAAGCTAATGGGGTAAATGGGGTACACGGTGGTATACATACGCAAACAGATGTTTTCCCCAATTATCCACCAGCATTTTCGAGTCAGTTCTTCTCCTCAGATCGTATGGGATCAAACAGTGGCATCACCTCCCACAAGGGTTGGTGTGTCCACTCCGTCGTGAATAGGAACGGGAAACGAGGGTATTGTGTCCTCCACAAGGGTACCCTCATTTTCCACAAACCTGTTCCGATATTCGGAGAATAACTAGGCTGAAAATGTCTGGGTGGGTGGTTGGCGTCTCAACCAGAGCTGCCTGTTCTCATTCTGTGTTCCTGTCGAAGCAGGGTGCCAAATTGAAGAGTGAGAGCTGATCTCATCCTCTCATAATATTGGCTCCTTATTGTGTACACACATCTGGAAACGATTGCATCTTTTTCCATCTTGGTTCTTGATAATAAACCAGCATTTTCGAGTCAGTTCTTCTCCTCAGATAGTATGGGATCAAAAAGTGGCATCACCTCCCACGGCTGGTGTCTGCACTCACTCCACTCCTTCTTGCTTCGAACCTTGCCTCAGGCAACTCCTCCAAGGTTTCATGAAGTATCCCATACTCAGGAGGTGCATATGTGCTGCAACCCCATGCATCCATATTCATCGTACAATAAACAATCATAAAATGTTTTTTCTCCTTCATCAGAGAAGAGGACGCCCCCTAAAAGCCGCGAAGGACCGCGTCTGTCCGCTCAATGGGAACTCATGAAGCTCCGGTACTGTTCCTCGGTGATACCATGGACCATTTCGCACGCCTTCCGCTCCTGGAGCTACGACCTGCATCAATCGCGTATACCGCCTGCGGTCCTGGGGTTCTTCCAATACGCCCTCTGCATGATGGTAGATACCATTCTCCGGGAGATCCTGAAGATGCCGGAGAATCAGCAGTATGCAGTCCTAGCCGAGATGCGCCCTCTTATCGGGGAGCTGTCGCGGTTGACGGCGCTGGACCCCGCCCTCGCAGCGGGGCAGAAGGTTGTGTTGGACATGGCCACGGCGCTAGACCACTGCGAGCACATCATACAACCTGACACGGGCGCTATGTGGCTTCACGAGGAGCTCCTGAGCCCCTCGGAGGAGGGGGAGCAGACAGACCGGGAACAAATCGTTAAACAGTTGACGACGTTATTCAAGCTGGTGCACCCCAAGGGGCTCCCCGGACTGGCTCCCGGTGGCTCCGAGGCCAGCGCCTCTAGCCGAAGACAGCGCGTCCAGCTCCTCATGCAGGTCCGTCCGCAGATCATCCGAGGTGCGATTCGGCCCGCCGGCTGCGATACCGCCCCCAGCAACTGACCCGCCCGCGACGACACTCCGGGCAGTTGCCGCCGCCCCCGCCCCGGCACCGCCACCCCCCGCGGCGCCAGCGGGCACGCCATTCCCGGCCGAGGAAGAGGCAGGAGCGGCGGAGCTGTGGGCTGTAGGAAGCACCGGAAGTCCGCCCGACAGAAGCATGCCCCCGTGACCGTCGCACCGCCAAAGAAAGCCCACCAAGCTCCCGAACAGCGCCTCCTGCTGGCGAGCCATCTTCTCCGCGTCCATTCCGGCGCACCGACGGCCGCGTTGACGGTGGCGACCGGGTCCGACAGGTTCATCGCCTCGGGGCGGTCCGTTAGCATGTCACCGAGAGCCAGGGTGTCGGCCCCACGCGGCCCAGCGGCTGCGGCAAGCTTGAAGGGAAGCGACTTGCGGACACCCTTGTCGTCGACCACGGTGGCCACGCTGTGGATTGCGTCCGTGCTGTCCGGAGCCGACGCGGTGGCGGGGTCGATGTCGAGGAGGGCACCACTCATGTTGACGAAGAGGGAACAGCGGAGGAACGGAGAGAAAAAATAGAAGTAGACAAACCGGAAAAACACGCTGCTGCTGAACAGAAAACGTAGGGAGAAAGGGATGCCCACAAGAGAAGCGACGTGCGCACCGGCCGCAGGTCGCAAGACGAGGGTGTGCGCGCTGACGACTGAGCGGTCTCACCCAGACCTCCCCTGCTCTCTTTCTGTTTTCCTGTCGAAGTAGGGTGCCAAATTGACCAGTGAGAGCTGATCTCGTCCTCTCATAATATTGGCTGTTTACTGTGTAACACATCTGGAAACAATTGCATCTTTTCCCATCTTGGTTCTTGATATTTCAGAGGCAAAATGGGCATTCGAACGGCCCAAAGAGCTTCTCGACCGAAACTTTGGTGCTATGTTTGAGCACATTCACCATCTTGGGCTGGCCCGCGCGATCACAGCTGACGAAACCCTGACGAAACCCTCCCTCCCTCTGCCACATCCTACATTCCGCTTTTGTGTTTGTTGTGTCGCAGGTGCGGCGTCGCTTCGTGCTGACTCGGCTTAGCCGCGAGGCCGGCCGTCCGGTGGACCAGATGACCACAGTTCTGGACCTGACCGGGCTTGGCATGAAGCACATGAGGCAAGCGTAACGCGTAGAGTTTGTACAGCACTGCCTTAGGTTGGCTTTCCAAGCGCCCAGAACTCGGCTCTAGGGCATGCCCGTTGTTTACGGTTTTGCAAAGCGTTCGGATCGGTACCAAAGTTTGGTACGAAAATGGCTGGGACTTTTTTCAGTTATTCAAGTTTGTTGTTATATGGCGCATCCAAGCTCCTCGCCCGAACCCGCTCGCAGCTAAGAAGCGGCGACTTACACCCGATGCAAACTCCGTGTCCCAACACTACCCTTTCCAGACCCCGCTCAAGCCTTAAGATTCCTTTTCCTCACCTACGACGACCCTATGTAGGTTATTCCCAACCCAAACATTTCCCTGTCCCCACACGCATACCGTCTTGCTGGAGGAGGCCGCGATATAGACGCGGCACCATCTTACCTAGACTCTTCCTTTCTAACGCTTACTCTACCCCTACATTTTCCATAAACCCTCGCCTGCAGCAAGGAGGCCATGGCGTACACCCGGCGCATCAGTGACATATTCCAGGACAACTACTCCGGCATGACCTGCTCCTTGCTGATCCTGAACGCCCCCTGGGTGTTCAGTAAGGGTTGGCAGGTTGTCGAAAGTGAGTGAGAACGTTTTATCAACGAAACCTGGCATACTGAAAACCAACATGAGGAGTTGGTGTGGGGTACGGCGGGAGGTGTTACTTTCAGAGTCAACACACCGCTTGTCCGTCTCGACGGAGGGACATTTACGACCATCCTTTTCCTGAGGCGAAAACATCGCGACCCCTTTGGGCCTAACGTTTTTTTTCGAAAACGAAAAGAAAGGGAAGAGGTAGACAGTGCAGGGGAGAGACGGAAGTGCAGAAAAAGAGACAAGTGCACTTCTGTAGACGCAACAGCTATCTCCACCAATAGGCCATGAGGGCAGCCGCGACAGGTTGGTGGCCACAGACAGGGTCATAGAAGGGTTGATGGATGATCCCGGTGCGGTCGGTAGGGCAATATAGACGAGTAGACCGTGGAAGGATCAGTCGTCAAGCTGGCTAAACTACTATTTTTTCAGTATGTTCAAACGATCTATGAAAATTGTCTGTTGAGGGCTTGTAGACCCGTAGATGATATTGATACTTCTGTACTTCTCTGTCCGCGCCCAATGTGAGCAGCCAGAGCTCCTGTGTTTTCCCCACAGGCACACAAGCACACCAGCACACACCTACCTTTGCATCAACGGCTCGCTCAGTTCGGGCGAGGGTATGTGTGGAGCTATGACGATATATGTGTTGTTATCTTGCCGGATCTCGTTTATCGTCCTGCTGTATGTGTGCCTACTGACACGATGACTGCTGGATCTCGAGTGTACTATTATCAAATATGGAGATCCAACCTACCACGATATCCTGGCTTGGCTGGGCTTGCAATACCCGTTTTGCTGCCCTCCGCTCTTTCCATCAGCGGCGTCCTAGATTCGGGCGAGGGCATGCATGTGGGGCTATGATGTGTGTCTCTGTGAAACGATATGTAGAGAGATTCATTGTAGCATTCGCATTTAGCGCATTGCGCATTTCGAACTTGGGTACCCCAAGGAACTTGATTGTACTTTACCCGCTGGCACTGCGTCTTTTCATTGGTTATCGGTTAGCACGGTCGATGCTAATAATACGACACCTAACTTCTGGACTTGCCAACACCTGGCGTGGAGGGATACAGGGCGACATTTACATGGCATGCCACCACACCAACATTTGCCAGTGATCTATCAACGATCTGTCAGTAGCCTTAAGACCCAAAAAGGGTTAGTAGAGATTTCCAATAAACTCATATCGTCTTGAGGGAAATCATCCAGCTCTCAGTACCGAACATCAATTTCTCGCTCATCATCTTGCCATGCTTTGCCTTCGTGTCTCTACCCTGCTGCCAGTGCGAGCCGATTGCGGCAGAGCACCTTTTTTCAAAACCCGGGAAAAATCAATCATCATGGTGGCGTCTATTAGCGTGCGTGCCGGGTGTACCCCCAGCAAAAATGTGACGCATCCCCCGCGACGCCTCAACCCTTGTTGATCGTCATCTTTCTTGCATGCCATACCTTTTGTCGTTCGCTGACACGGCAGGCTTTTTGAGTGAGGACACCGTGGCGAAGGTGAAGGTGCTCGGCAAGGGGGAGGCAGGTCTTCAACAACTCGAAGAGTACATTCCCAAGGTAAGGGACACAACTTTTGTCGAATCCACAAGTAGTCGACAGCAGTTGTGTGGAAAACGAAACGTACAACCCCTTCAGATGCGGCTCGCAAAGGCGGCGAGTCAGACGCCCCCGAGACAGGTATAGCTTGGAAATGGTCGGCGTTTGCGTGGGCTCGTGCATAGATTGCGAAGACGTTGAGCATCCTTAGGTGTAGCTGTATCTGTATGCGTTCCTGTATTCGTGCTACAGCTCGCTTGACACCCCACGCCGCACACAACTTGCCCCAAAACATATTGATGCGGCTGGATGTCGCTTTTTAAGAGTAACAGAACGCCGTGATTTGTACGGCTGGGATTCTCTTTTTAAGCGCACCAAGACGCCATGATTGGCACGGCTGGAAGCCGCTTTTTAGCAACAGAACGACTCTCACGATTTTTTACAAGTGAACGTTCTTCCGCCCAACCAACGCCATGAGGTCCTTGTTTCGTTCTCCCACCGCAGGAGAACATCCCGGAGTTCTTGGGAGGCGAGTCGCGCGCAGTTATCGGCCCCTCAGACCCCCTTTGGTCGGACTTCGACCGCGCAGTGCGGTTGTGGGGCGACGACGGCGACCCTTTCCTCGACCCAAGCGAAGTGAAACGAGTCTCGCGACGCATCGCGGGCGAACGTACGTCTTCCGCTTCGAAGTCGAAGTCGAAGTCGAAATCGAAGTCGAGGTCAACATCGAGGTCAGCGGTTGCTGCACCAGGAGCGAAAGGTGCGCAAGAGCAAGCGGTGCCGGCCTCCGTCACTGCCACCACGGGCGCCGTGGAAAGGGGCAACAGGAGAGGTGCTGCTGACGGTGGTCGAAAAGTACGGGTTACGTCGTCGCGGGGAGCGGCAGCTGCCTCGGTGTCGAGGGTTGGGAAGACGACCCGCAGCAGCAGCAGTAAACGGAGTAAACGGCAACTGGATTCAGGGAAGACAGTCAAAGGAGAAAGCGAAGGGGGATTGGGGCATGCTGATGGAGAGCCAGCGGTCGACGGCGAGAAGCACGAAGACAGGAGGAAGAGGAAGAGCCATCGCCGGCAGCGCGATGGGCTCGTCTCCAGCGAGGGCACCACGGGAGCAGGACGGCCGAGCTTGTCCTCCCACCGTCGGGCGTCGTCGTCGTCGGTCTCGCGGGGAGCGGCTTCAGACGAGGCCGGCTCTCCTTCCCGCAAAACGCGGGGAAGTAAGAGAACCACCCCTCAGGAGGATGACTCGGAAGAGGGGACTGACACCGAGGATATCATCCGTGATGACGGTAAAGCGGTGGCGTTGGGAGACACCGTGATCGGCGAAAGGGCACTCCAGGGTGTCGCGAAGGCTCTGGGTCCAGTGTTGGGGGCGTACTTCTTGCAGATCGTGGCCGGTTTGGCATCGGTCGGAAGAGTCCTGTGGGGCACTGTGGAGAGCGTTCTTTTGCTCTTGAGGGATCTATTTTTCGAGCAGATCGAGGTGGAGGAGTAAAGTGTGACAAATCGTTGCGTTAGTCGTACGAGTCACATGCGACTTTCGGGTCGCGTGTGTGTCGTATCGCAGCCGAAGTGGAAAGGGGTTCTTCTAAGGAGCCTTAATTAGCGGAGGAGAGCGTCTTTCGCACCGCGTAAGTATGACAGCTTGAGGGATGACTGAGTTGGCCTTGAGAATGTATCGTTTCGTTTAAAGACACTCTTTCCACTGACTTACCGACCGTGTGTCGACGTATTTACTTCCCTCCAGAGCGATGTTGGAGGAAACGCGACAGTTCAAATTTTTTCCAAGGTATGATTTTGTTCGAGTTAAGCAAGAGATCGAAGTTTTCAGCCCTGGTTTCGGGAGACTAGTCGCGGTCCCCCCGTGGTTCAATTTGTAGCTGATTTCTGCGAGCGTTCGTTTAGTTTTCGCTGCTAGTATGCATATTTGTTAGGAGGGATGTATCGTGCGTGCTGTTCTGTTATTGCTGGCTCCTTGTTTCTTTCTTGTAGGAAGTTTTTGATTGCAAGTTGCCTCCTACCGGTTGGCCCGGTATCGAAGAGCTACGTACTGACTCGGAGATCAGCCGGGGCGTCTTGTTCAAGTAGGTTGGTGAACCGTCTTGCCGCTGCGCTGTTTTGTTCAATTTTGAAACCACGAGTGAACAAGAGATGGATTCCTCACAACCTCCTTTTCTGTATCGGGAAGAGCTTTTCCGTATCCGTAAGAGCCGTTATGCTCTTGAGCACCATCTGGCTCAGCTTGGAAGCTTAGGCTAGCTCCCCCAGCAGCGGAGGAGCTGGGAGCTCTTGGTCCACGCCATCCGCCTGACAGCTCACTTTTTGTTGTGGCGATTGTGTGTGCGGGATTTCGAACCGGGTGGGGCTCAGGCCTGAAAGGCTTGTCATCACCAGCGTCGTTTTCGATGGGTTGCAATCTGAACAACCCATTTGCTTTTTCGCATTTATGAGCTTTTTTTGTTGGTCAAGAGAAGGAGAGGAAGAATTGCATGTCTTCCTCGAACGTTTTGTCGTGTCCACAATAAATGGTGCTAAATGAGATGGTGCTACTGTGTGGTTTCGCCGGCGCGATTGCACCCTCAATTTCTACTCCCTTCCCTGGTTGGAAAAATCATCATCCTATGTTCTGGGATATATCCCGACCAATGCACGGGTCTGGGCTGAAGTTTGACTTGTCAGATGTACGTAGAAAACAAGACTTTCAGGAATGACGCGCCAATTCATCACTCGCACTGGTTTCATGTATATGTAGCAAGCGCCCAAAGAAGAATCAGATTATCAGATGCCTTTGGCCATGAAGGAGCAACTCCAGTAAAACCAACTTACTACCAGAAGTAGGCCGAACCTCAACCCAAGGACCATGTCAACCCACCGCTCAACTAACTTCTTCTTGAGGCAATCCAAAGCACCTTGACATATGAACTGTGTGATTCTCCAATTCGATTCGCAAACAGTCTTCGCGCTCCATACGGCAGATTTAGTAGCCCTTTCGCACCGCTTTGTATGTCGGGGAGCAAATCGTGTCCACACGAGGAGTGTACTAGCAAGACGCCCCCCGCCTTTGCACATCCGTCGGCGGAGGTGAAGTGATCGTTGTTTGCACTCCGCCCTACTCAGCATCGTATCTACGCAACGATTCAGTCGCACTTTCAGAATCGCCCCGACACCTGGGACCCCCGGAGCACTCGTGGCGAAAATAGTTATTACGGCGGGTGGTGGTATAAGTGCAAATGGTAGTACAAGTACAAGCACTTTCAACAATAAACGAGTTGATCCTAATCGGCAGTGCACATCCAGACCGACACACACAAAATATGCCAATCTTTCTCGCACAAGAACTTCTTCCACTGTTGCACCCCCTTCCGCAGCATGCTTCACTTTGTACCCCACCGCAATTTGTCAACAATGCCATCGATTCCGTCTTCACACAAAGACGGATGACCACCGGAGAACACCTTCGATCTGAAAGTTACACAAATCATCACCTGTTCCGCAACTGCTTACACACAAGGTCGAACGAAAGACAGCACATCGCAACCACTGCTCGCCTCACACCTGCGGTCAGCAAGCAGTACTGCCAGGGCCGCTCCTTGTTGCAAGGTGTCCTTAGCAACGGCCGCTACATAGTATGACCGCAAGATTTTAGGCGGCATGGGCGCTCCAGCTATCTCTAAACCCTGATCTATAGTCAAACTCGGCCCTGGAATAACGAAGCAGGAAGGTCTGCACCTGAACCTTGAGCAAAAAGACATTGGAGGCCGGTCGCCTGGTAAGGCCTCTTGCGGCGTTTGACCAGCGGCGCATGCACGTAAGTGCCGCCGTGTAGACAGTACTGCCGGTCGTATGGCAAGGCCTTTTGCCGTGTTTGGGCCAGCGGCGCAGGTACTTGTACGGGAGTACCCGGTCAGCGTTTACCAGAAGAGTACCTGCGTAGTCATACCGGTGCGATCACATAACCAACGCGAATGCTCACCGTAAGAGGACCAAAACGGAGACATGACATCGGTAGCGGTCGCGGCCATCGATCGGCTTTGGTAACTTTGGTTCTGAGTGCATATAATGAAGAACACGAACGACTTGCAGCTAGCACACGTGTAAGGTGTAAAGGAGGTTGTGACCCAAAGGCGATGGCGGAGCTTGGTCGGCACCAGAAGCTGCCACCACAATGCGACACGGACAGCGATGTTGAGGTCGAAAAGGAGGGCGCACACGTGACATTGCAGATTGAACGCAACGGCAGCCGAGAGATTTGCAGGAATTTCCAAACAAGAAGCAGCATGGAGCACACATACAGCAAGCACCGCGTCAGAGGGCGAGACGACATCACGCACGCGAAAACAGGGAATGGTCCTCGAACAGACGTTAGGGAGACGGGTCCCGTTGTGAGCGTCATATCCAAGCATACACCCTTTAAACGAGCCGCGTGGTGGTTTCGCTAGTTTATTTAGTCAAAAACAAGGTAACCGGGACTCGACCAATTATACGATTCAATCTAGTTCCTTGACAATCTTCCGTGCGTTGTTACGTAGGTTCGCCGCGTTCGCCATGTCATCAGAACTCCCACGAGTTTGAAGTTTCTTGATGACAGCAGTGGGTAGTGGGGTTTGAACCCTGATTCGCTGCCACCACAACCAAACATCCTACCACGGACGCCAGAGTATTGCGAAAGAGGGAAGTGTCCTTGACGGACAGACTGCGGAGGTGGGATATTTTTCTCAGGTTATCTACAGAACATTGTTGCCAAAATCGCACCCCTCCTTCGCGTTGTTTGGCCGAGGATGGACGAAGAAAATATCGGTCGTGTAGTCCTGGTTCTGTTTGAATCCTCTGCAGTAGCATGACAAATACTGGAAACCTCGCTCGGCCATAACCAAGAAGCTGCATGGATGGGCTGCCTCCACTGTCAACAGCACAGACGGCGAATACCCACCAACCCGTTTAATTGCTCCTCTGTGGCGGGTTTTCCTCCGATCGTCTTCTCGTGAAGCTTACGGCCTGCATATTCCAGGGGCGTGTCGTTGTACACCACTTGATTCCCGGCGCTTTCGAACGGGGCCGCCGATGTTGTATCCGCTCCCGCGTTAATCAGCAAACGCACCACTCTGGGAGAACTTCACTGGTCATCGTATGTATCAATGCTACTGAGCAACGCTGTTCTGCGGAGATGGTCTTGCGTGTCGTTCACGTACGCAGCCAAACTGGCAGCCCCCCCCTCATGTCGTTCCAAGATCAATTTTAAGGCGCGCGCTCGACCATATCCGGCGGCGATGATAAGGGCCTTGGTCGTATTGGCGACTCCGGCCTCTATCAACATTGTCATGATGTTCACATGCTGAAACTGGGCGCGGCTACACGAAGAGCATCCACGCCAACGCTTGCACCGCCACAACCTACGATCCCGGAGTGCTGTAGCAGGTCACGAACCACCTCTGTGTGCCCGTGTTGAGCCGCCGCGTCCAAGGGAACGAACAGTACGCCATTTGACTCGGATTTAGCCAAAGACGGATCCGCCCCAGCATGAATTATTAGCACCCACCCTGACCGCTTCCGTGTGCCCCCCCGACGCTGCAGTGTACAGCGGCGTCGCTCCATCCGTTCTACGCCAGTCCGCATTCACGCCTGCTTCAATCAGTGCCGTCATTACGTTCGAGTGTCCTTCGTCAGCAGCTTTGTGAAGCGGCGTCCGGCCGCCGGGCGTAGTTGCTTCGAGGTCTGCGCCTGCCTCCATGAACATTCTGGCCACGGCCAGGTGGCCGTTTTGGGCAGCAATGTGCAGAAGAACACTAAAACCGGCGTCGCCAACGACGGACACATCGGCTCCCTTGTTGAGCAGGATCCTGGTGACTTGTGGGCATCCATTCTGACCATTAAACATGAGAGCGCTCCAGCCTTCGGGGTTGAGTTGATTAATATCATATATATGGCCATCCGCTCGCCAGGAACTCAAGTGCTTGCTGGACGGAGCCATCACACGCGGCGATGTGCAGACCGTTCGTCGGCCCTCGAGGAACCTGTCGAGGAGGAATTGCCGGGGGCATTGTAAAAGAAGGTCCGTCGGCTTACAGTAGTATTATATCTGAGCGAAGAGCGGGATGCTTGATGCTGTGACCAATGCTGAAGCCTGTGATGAATACAGAATGACACTGCCGCCGGGGGCAGAGCAGGGAGAGGCGGGGGCCCCGTCGTGGAGGAGATTGGGTTTCCAACGGTTCTCCCGGATGTATGTGCATACATACGTATGTCCCACACGGCAGATTCCACCAATCCGGGGATATTATCCAGATCCCAGCGGGGAGGTTCAAACAACGGTGATCTGATAAAACCAGTGTACAGCAGTGCTGCACATCACCTGTTGGTTCCGTGATTTTGTTGTATGGCTCCGTCGTTCTAAGGCTGCTACTTCGTACATTGTTGTGACCATCACGCCGCTTCTGAAGGACGGTGTGGTTACCGTTGGGGAATAGTGTTCGTCTCCGTAGATTTACAGCAGTCGTCTAATCTGACGGTCAGCTTTTTTTTTTTTGTGACGACAGCACAGCTTTTCTGTGTAGATCAAATATACTGTAGAAGTTGTGGGAGCACAGCTGGTATGGTGATAACCAGCAAATAATAAATAAATCAAAACACGCGTGTCATGCATCCTTACCCGCTCTCGCGAATCCTAAAAAACTACCCGTAATGTTTGAGGATTTCGCAACTACGAGAGAGAATCGGGTGCCGATCCGATGTCTATTAGGAACCCTCCCCTGGTAGGCTGCTAGACTCACGAAATGGAATCGAGTGTGCGACGGACTCCAACCACAAAAATATAGACCACTAAACACGCGTCACAACCCATCACCAGGTAAAAGCACATCCATCCCCTTGACCTATCACACATGCTCTCCGCCAAGTGTATTTATCGTTTTCTGCCAAACGTACTTGTTATCATGTTCTCGGGACGCTGGGGGTCGCCCCCACCACGCACGTGCCAACATCACATTCATTAATTCATTCGGTGAATGTTGACTCCCATTGAACAAAAACGCAATCGATCATCTCTACACCCGCTTTTTTCGTTCACAGGGAATTTCCCAGGCATCAGCCAAATCTACACAACAAAGCTGCCGTATCACGAATGTAGCTCAGTTAGTCGTCAATTCCAACAACGAAGCACGTGTCCTCCGACATTGTCAGTGGACACTCTTCCTCCAGCAACCAACGCGAAATCAAGTGACAGTCACGCCTTCCGTCACAACGTGCAACACATTTTTCACTCATGCACACGCGTAACACCTACCTATCCTCAACAAGCGAAAGCCATACTCTACACACGGAGCCGCATACTGTCAAACCACTCACGCCGGCTTACGCAGCAGTATAGGTGGAACTTCAACTTACCGCCAATCCTCATTGTCGGTCACACCACTGCATCATGACACAAACGCAGCTTCCACGCCGAAAGAAACGACTTCCACCCAAGGCTACTAGAGCGTACAAACCCCGTCACATCATTGCATACCTACGACGTCTCTTTGGGGCACCGTATTGACGTAGCTCTCTTTGGGGCACCGTATTGAACGCTGCCCCGTAGTGCGATTCACCCCAGCCACCAGAATAAGAACGGAGCTCTTGCTTGTACCACACGAATGCTAGGTAGGCTTGAGCTGGCACCAATCAGCTTCAAAACTTCAGCAAAATCAAGAAACAACGGTGTGACCGGTTGACTCCTTCTCAGGGGGAGTCAGTGCACACCACGAACGGTAGCCGACAGCTGGCGAACCAACGTGATGGTACCAAAACACTGCCGGCCACGCCTCCATACCCGCGCAACGACAATACTGTTGGGTGGTTACCGAAAGAAGGGACAAAAGAGAGCGAATCTAGGTCCAGATTGAGGGGGTTGTCGCTGCGAGCGCTAGCTGCCGCTGAGGAGAGTGTTGATCGCCGCCGTCTCGTCCCAGTCGTTGGACGCTAACGCCCTCCGAGCTTGCGCCTCCGGGAAGCCCATGTCGCAGACCCTTCGCACCACATCTTCGTTCCCTCCAGGATCGCGCACCTGTAATCATGGCGCCATCGGGAAGTGCGCAAGCCTCATTCTACAGATCTCGGCATGCGTACGGCCAACCTTGGATGCGTTGGCGACATCACTGGGGACTTCGCAAGATACGGGGGCATTGTTACCATAGAAAGTTGAACTGGGGCCACACCGGGACAGTCGCCACAGCAACGACCAAAATGTTAGCAGTGGGGCAGTCACGTAATCTCCTGATGCAAACGAATGCACTTCCAATTGTGCTGCTGCCTTACGAACCTGTTCCGAATCAACCAATCTAGTATCTACAAAAGGCCGCAGGAACACGCGACGCCGACGAAAGCACGAGCTGTTGAGATGTGGTTGCTCTTTCCGAGGGAGAAATGGGGCGTGCAGAGTTTCGGGCTGGCTCCGCATCATCGTGAGAGTTCTTCAGGGCAGCGAAAACACGTAGCGCCGTATTCCTGCTGAAACACGCATATGCTGCCGTCATGTTTTTGACCCACCGCTTGCACCTCTTGTTCCCCTCATCTCCCTCTTATCGCGAAGCCCGGATTTCACCAGCCTCTATTTACCACCTGGACCCTTCCATCACTTCGCCCTGTCGTACCTGGGCGTATGTCTCTGTCCAGAACTTGGCCGTCTGGTTGTACGTATCGCGATTGATCTTGTACATATTCGCGACCTCCGCGTCCTAAAACAACAAGAACAACCACGCGAGCCAGTAGCGATCCAAGACAATCAGACCTTGGATCATCATCGAATAAGGAGGGCTAAGAGCTAGCTACGCATGACCTTCCATGGGGTTGGATAAAAAGACAAAAGGCTCATCATCACGCACACCCCATCACCCTGAAGAAACACGCACGGTCGACGGCAACTAGATAAGCACACACACACACACCGCTAAGCACCGAACTTTGTGCATTGGTTGGCAGCTGTCGTAGTCGATGAGATGAACTTACACACACAACGCACCACCGCAGGAAGCGAAAAAAGGGCAAACAGTGGCACCCAGAGAAGATTTTTCTACAAATAGCAGGTGCCGTAAGAGGGGATGCGGGGGTATACGCTACGGCAGCTCTCGGACCGCAGATTCCCGCACGACTGCTCAAAGCAGACCAAAAGCACGCCAGGAGGTCGCCCCCTAGCCAGGGGGCCACATGATATATACTTCTCTCTTCAGGTCATTGATGACGCTACCTTTTCCAGACGTCGCAATATTGTAGTCCAAATCTATCTGAAGGCAGCCATCTACAAACATGAGTAACCCCCCTCAAAATTTCAATGTTTCTCCCGAATAGCACCGAACCAATCGGATCGCCAAACCAACGGAAGAGTCAACAACCCACCTGCGGGTCGTCCGGTTCTGGTGAACACATGAGAGCTTGCAGCGAGAGAAGAGCGGTCTTGATGGTCAGGGCCGGAGACCACTGATCTTTCAAGATATCCTTGAGAGCGAGTTGAAAAATCAGAGCGTCGAGAAGGTAAGGGCGAAAACAAAGGGTGCTTCGAGCTATCGTTGAGCTTGGAGCTATCCCCGGGTAGGGGGTGTCCTGCCCCGCTTCGGTGCCGTGGCCAAGACGGAGAAATGGCGCCAACAAAGCAAACAGAGCGGCAAAAAGAGCTGTACTACGACAGCAGTCATAGGTCTTCAACTGTGGCCGCACGGGTGCATACGATTTGAAAAGCCGGGGCCTCGCTCCAAGTGGCGGCGGGGGGGGTGTACTCATAGCCGTGCTACCGTAGTCGTTCGACAATTGCCCTCACAATCTGTACGAAGCACGCTGGGTTTCACCGGACCGGGCTATCACATCGCCATGCGCGCGGGGTGGGTAGCACTTGGGAACGACACGTTGACTCGCGAAGCTTTCGCTCACCAAACAGATCGCACCCGTCTGCGACGAGATGTTGGGGTGCCAAATCTTGGTGGCGAACTTCATCTTGGGCGGCTCGAACGGATAGCCCGAAGGAATATCGATGTTGATTAGAAACGTTCCGCCCTCGAACGGCGTGCCCTAGGAAGCGAGGCGAAGCGGCACAATGCGATGCAATACATGAAACACGAAGAAGACATGTGATTGACGGCAACAGGCTCAACCATCACAGAGTAGTGTGATCGCTTACGATGCGATCCAATGCACCAAAAACAAACACGAAAAAGAAGACTAGGTGATTGACGGATACAGGCTCAACCGTCACGAAAAACATTCTTAGATTTACCCCCACGCGTCACCAAGAGCTGGAAGAAGCTTGCTTGATTCCTGTGCCGCAGCGACACATATGTTCTGAACCTTGAGGTGTGGCAGTCTACAATAACACCATGAGTTCTAGATCTGTGAGCGGTGGTTAAAAGCATCCTCTCTTCTTTACCTGTACATGCACACACACCTCGATCGCGGAAGCGCAACTGCCCTTGCTCATGTCCTCGTTAATACAAGGAACTTGGAAAGTTCCTTGTCAATGTTCCTTGTATTAACGATGAACGAGTGACAGACATGAGCAAGAAGAGGCAAAGCCTGCTGCACCAAGTATGTCTATCAACCCATAGCTATCACATTGGCGTAACCCCCTCGGAGATCGCGGAGATCTGTATTCTGCCGAGTACACACACAAACATGCTGAGCTTTGCCCGTTTCAGCGTCTGTGGTGGTGGGGAAACTCTGTGTATGGTTGTGAATGACGCGAAATGCCTTGTGTGTGTTCGAGGCAATATAAACAAACCATGGATTGAATTGGACTAAGAAAACAAATCTTTGAGGGATAAACAATTTGGAAATCAATGTGATTCCTGAGTCACAGACAACGGTCGGGCTAGCGTCCATTTGTCTGTCTCAAGCGGTCAGGGACGCGCCGGGACACAAAAAAAACACACGTAAGTTGCTTGAATCACCCACGAGCGACAAGTCACATGTTCAGAGAGAATCGTTGTTTCTCCTGGTGTGTCTCTCGCGGCATGTTCGGTCTGCACGCCAAATCAAGGGTCTATATGCATACGTCGTGTGCAGAATCTTTGTTGTCTGACAAGAGCAAAGCAATCGCCATAACAGGCAAAGCGCGACACACCACACATTAACATCTGACGAAGGCGCACCGCACATGTAGGCGATCACTGAGAAAAAAGTTTCGTCTCAAAATTCCCCGATTGAAAAAAGCTCAGACTACCCCATCGCACAACCGTCGCCACCGAGGCATCGAGGCGTCCCTCAACCAACACACCGCATCACGCCCTTCGACAAAAAAAAATGAAATAAAACGCACGCCCCGAAAAGGTTTAACTAAGTCCATCGGTTCCGCATGGAATGGGTCCTTGAAGTCAGCGGTTTTGTTTGAGTGTTGCGTTCAGAGGATCAAATTCTCGTCGTACTGGCGGACGAGAAAGATCGGGTCGGCGGACTTAAGTCAGGCGCGAGTAGGGTTTCGCCCCTGCTCAAGTCGATCTCGGTATCGATTCCGGTTTTGAACGTTCCATGTGCACACACCATGGGACAACGGCAACCACAACGACGGCGGTATCATTTACAAAGACGACGAACACTGTTGTACAACCATGACCAAGACTCTACAGGGTTATATCAAGTCGGTGATTGGATGGCCAGGACCTTAAAATCCAAGTAGAATCTTGGTACAAAAGCCATGCCAGGACTCTCCCCAAGCCGACACGTGGGTCCATGAATGGTGAAAGTGGTCACAGAGAATCAGCAGCAACAACAACAAACCACCTCCCCTTCGTCTCACCACCGGCCCAAGAATTGTCCCCTCAAGGCGAGCCAGCGAGTCCCCCTTAGGTACCGCCGTCACCCCTGAGTCCGTGTCCCGGGCGCACTCCGCCAGCTCCTTGCGGATGCGGCCGGCATCTCCAGCCATCTCTGTATCAACGAGCACGTGTGAAAACGAAGAACGGCCGGGAGGCAAAAAAAAACACTTGTAGAAAAGCATCGCGGCCAACACCTAGTGTTGCGGTTCGGCGCGAAAAAGCGGCGAGGTGGTTCACATGAGCGAAACAACAAGCAGGTATGTACCGGGAGCATTCTCTACCAGCAGGCTCCCTCGCGGTCACGACCGGCATGCGTTTACCCTACATATGTAGGTGACCGAAGATATTCACCCCCTGCACTGGTTTTCAAGGCTAGATAGATTACTCCACCCGACCACACATGGGCGTAGCCGAAAATGGCGGCGCTGGGACCGTCTCGTCGAGAAACTTTTCGAAATTACATCGTTTGACTTGTACATCCTCTTCGTCGTGGAGTGGCCGACCTTTGAAATCGGTCCAGGGGGTGTGATATCTTACGTCATCTACGGAATGTACCATCGTGGGCGCACAAAGTAGGCGAAAAGGGCTTAAGAAACGGGGGGAGGAGCGCCTGCCCTTCTCGCCATCAGGACGACAATAAAAAGTGTACGTGAACGCCGCCACCCATGCTTCTTTTTTTTTTACCGGGGAGGCACGTCACAGACATGGAAACGTCAGCGCTGCTGGTGATTTTTAGTTACAAGTACGGCAAGCGGAGATGTTTACATGCTACCCGTCTGTTTCGACATGTGATCCGGGGCATCCGGAGCATCAATCAACAGCAGCTGCGACCGGAGCGACACCAAGCAGAGGCAGCATACCGTAGCAGCAGCAAGCTGCCATGTTTACGAAGGATGATTTTTGCGAATCCTACTGCTGTATGTACATACACACATACGCTCACACTATTTTTCATGGTTGATGCCGGGATAACCCACAGAAAAAAAACGAAAAAAAAACGGGCTTCCAGGCAACACAAGATCTTGAAACGTAGTGGGTGGCGCCCTCTTTGCACTCGTTCAAGCAGATTCTTGAGAATTGTCTTTCTCTCCTCTCTCCTCCATATGAAACGCTCATGATCTCGTTGTATCAGGAACAAGCGAACAAGCGCGCTCTGGAGCGGAGGAATATCTCGCCGTCATGACTCCCTTTTGGCGGGAGTCTTGAAACTAGTATCCCCCCTTCCCAGAAGCAGCAGGAGAGAGGGGCTGCCGGCGGCACAACCATGTGATCGCGCAACCTTGATCCGCTCATATGCATACATGTGTACGCAGCAGTACAGCAGTAGTGTAAGTGCTGAAAGAACCACAAACACACGCTTGCAGTACTTCTGCTGAACCCACCACCAGATGTTGAAACAGGGTGAAAGGGAAGTGCTCTCCAACAGCGGCGGCGAACGTACGCATCGCCCTGTCCCTCCCCTTCTCTCTCTCTCTCTCTCTCTCTCTCTCTCTCTCTCTCTCTCTCTCTCTCTGTGTGTGTGTGTGTGTGTGTGTGTTTGTATTGTTAGCATCGACCGCGCTAACCGGCTGTGTTTGTGTGTGTCGCGCTCCTGAATGATCATTTTTCAAATTTCATTTGTCTCAGTGTATAGACTTAAAAAGACTCGAAATAAGTCCAGTACCCAGCCGGTTTCCCTCCACTCACTGAAAAGACTCCACCACATCCCGTTCGACTGTGGGTATATCTCGAACGGGTAGTCTTTCTTTGTGTGTTTTTATTATTCCTTAATTGTCTGTTTGTCGGTTGATTTGCCCGGGGGGGTGTGCTTCCGCTTGCTTTTTCCACGGGTCGGCCAACTTCCCCCACGTTTTTAGCCCGCGAGGGAATAGCCGCGTTGCGGCGAAAGCGCACGACAGGAGGCCCAATGTAAGGTGGCGAGATCGGCTCTTGGAGCCCAGCCTAGGGGGGGGTGCATCTTCTACGTGCCCCATTCCCTGCTCTTCTGGGCGTGCCCGTGTGCTGCTGTGCTGTGAGTAGTGTTGGACCAGGCGGCGTGACTTGCACGTAACACTATTGCTGTAGGCCGAGAAGAACGAAGTGTTCAGGTGATAAATTAAAGTCTGCCCCACTAGGACGCCAACCCTCTTCTCACCTCTCTTGGGCACGCCGAGGTCGTAGAAGAATCCTCGATCAATCCAGGACAGGCAACTGCTGCGCAGTCCAGCCCCTTTTCTCCCCTCCCTTGTTCCTTCAGGGTTTCTGTGACTGAACACGTGCGGGATCCCGATGGCTCTGTTGCCTTGAGGCCCTGCAGATTGGAACACGACCCCACCAGCACATGAGCGAGTGTTTTTTTTGTCATTTTGTGGTGGGTGTCAGCACCTTTCATTTGCTCATCTTGCGTGACTCCGTCGGGTGTTTGTGTGTGGACGAGTGTGTGGCTCGTCTGAAAACACTATCTACTCGCAACCAACATGCGGGTGTCTTTGTATGGTCTCTCTAAGCCAGAGAGGCAGGCTGAACGGCCGTCAAAGTGTGCGCCGAGAAGCGCGAAACCGACAAAGATGTTCCGTTTCGACAGAAGAAGGAGCTTTATCGCGCCGCACATCGATTGCCCGAACAGGCAGATTCAAAGGGCCGCGGATCTCGCGCCCACAGACATTACATGATGTTCCTCTACAGCAGTACGTGGGCAATTGCATTCGAAAGACTACTTCAAAAAAAGAGAAGGGGGAGAAATCGTTCCGCATCGCGGCACAACCGTCTGCGGATTGCTTTCATTGGTCTGTCCCACGAGGACGGTGAAGTTGACCAATCTACCCGCGGGACGTGGGCGGTAGGCACTGCCACGTCCGTGTTGGTCCGCGCTGCCAGTTGATGTTCTCACCAGTCGCGTGTCGCGGTTTAAGTGCTCAAGAGCACTTGAGAGTAGCAGTATATTATCCCTCACTACTTTCGCTTCGCATGTTGCCACTGCTGTAGCTTCAGACAGCACAGGCCACTTGGTTGGGTAGATTACCCTCGAATCGGGCGAGGTGATGGAAATGATGGACAACGCATCCCGGGTAGATGGGGTTGGGGGCAACATGTCGGACTCAGTTGAGAGCTATGGGCCAGCATCGTCGGTCGGTACTGGTGATGAAGATGAACCGGCGCACCCCCACCACCTCAAGCTGCGCGCCCTGTCGGAGGTGCTCATGTGTTCGCCCGTTCCCAACAACGCTGGCAAGGTAAAGAATAAGGAAGTGCCTTCAACGATGAACGGCAGCAGCACGGGACTTCTGGAGGAGGCCAGGAATAGGTGGCGGGGGAGAAAGGAGCGCTGCGTGCACTGGGACAGGGTAGAGATCAACGGCAGAGAGTTCCCTCTCCAGCGCGCAGACACATCCTCCATAATACAGCAGGCTACCACTTCCGGAGGGCAAATAGGGGGAACTGGACAAAGCAACACATCCGAGCTGGCTGCTGACAAGGCACAAGCGTCCTACCTTCTCGTCGGCCACTCCACGTGTGACATGTGCCTCATGGAATTTGAGGCCTCGAGCGTGTCCGGGGTGATCACCATGAAGCGCATCCTGGAAGCGCGACGGGACTGGGGCTTGGTCGGCGAAAAGAGCAAGAAGTACGCAGCAGCGAGCAATCTGTACGAGCCTGCCCGGCTCTGCGCTCTGTGTAGCCAGTTTTTCTGCTCTAAGGACGCAGACGGTCGGGTGGGGGGCGAGAGCGGCGAGCTTGTGGCATGCGGTGTTGGTCGGTCGGACGAGCACGTGTCGCTATCGCTCGAGAACATGGCATCGAACAAGCCACTACCGGACAAGGGGACATCAGCGTTGGCGAAGATGGCGACAAAATCTGCCGGTGGCTGCAGTGCATCGGCTGGTAGTGGCCTGCGACCGAATCAGCATCGTCGGCGTCGAGATGCCAGTGGAAGTAGCGACAGCGCTACTACTGCTACCAACAACAGCGGCGGTAGTAGCAGCAGTAGCAGGAAGGAAGTGAGAAGCCTCAAGGGTGCGGCAACGTCGGCGGCTAACTTCCGCTTAGACGAGCTGATTGCGGACGACCGCTTCGTCGTGAAGGAAACCGATCTGGCGAGACAAGTGGGAGCCGTCGCCTCCCAGAGTAGCACCGCCGACGGCATGGGCGCCGACGTGTGCATGGGGTTTCCCGCGGCAAATCGGCTAGGCGGAGCAGAAGGATGGGGTACATCTGCAGGGACACCGTCAAGATCGCCAAATCCCGCAGCATTGACAAATTTTCCGTCTGAAGGAGAATCCCTTCTCGAGTCTAGCGTCGGCGATCCTACTCCTGTCACCCCAACGGCGGCGTCGGCGTCCACAAAGACCACCACGGCAACAGCCTTACCTGTCGTACAACAAGCCCTTTCCTCCGCTGCTTCCACGCGTCCACAGAAACGATCGCCCCCTTTTCCCGCACCGAAGATGTGTCCAGACGAGATAGCGGCCGCGGTGGCGGCCGCGGCGCGCACGTGCAGCCGCACCCGGCGAGAAAACCAGCCGTGGTGGGAGATAGACCTCGGGGGCGCCTTCCCGGTGCGGTGCATCCGCGTGCACCACCCGGACCGTCGCACGGAGGCCACCAAGGCCGGCGCATCGCCGTTCGTGGACGTGTCCCCCTTCTGGATCATGACGTCCGCCGGCGCGATAGGGGACGCCGCGCCCGAGGAGGCCAAGCAGCTCGCCATCTCGTCGAAGCGGGTTGGAAGCCACGGTAAGGTTACGGTGTGGAACCTGGGCGTGAATCACTTCGCCGCGGCTGTGCGGGTGCAGGCGGAGGGGGTCAAGAGCCTCCAGCTCGCGAGGTGAGCGCTGAACATGATCCGAAACCAACATGAAAATAGCTCGCTGGGGGGGCATTCCTGCCCAGGTTCATCGGGAGCAAATCGAGGGGAGATACTGTAATCTACCTTGCTGCTCTGGCTTTGCTTGTAGAGGGAGACAAAATCGTGTTCGACGTGCAAAAACACAGGTCTTGCCCTGCCAAAACAGGGATACATTCACGGGAAACATCCAAGAGCTGCATGTGAATGCGCACAACTTGACCGCCTTTGAAATTTGTGAGATTATATGCATAAGTAGACTTTGGTAGATCTGCATCGAGGCTTCCATGATGTGTGACACGCGTATTTCTGTTCAGCAACACATCTAGAGGTCGACGTTCAGCGTGGAATAATCCAGTAGGGATGCGCCTTGGTTGTAGCAGAGACCAAAGAAGCTCGGCGCAAACCTCCCGTCCAGCATGTTAGCAGTTTCCGCCACCATGTTTCTTGTACACCAGATGTCACAGACAGTGGCCACACGCAGTTGAATTTCCTTCTTGTGAAGACCCACATCCGAACTCATGCCCACGCTTGCCCCAACTCTCGGCGCGATCCCAACTACCACGTCCTGTTCCGTTTCAATTGCAGAGTGGAGGTCATCAAAGGCGGTGGCACCCAGCAAGCAAAGGATGCCATGCAACACCAGCTGGCGGCTCGCACGGACTCCAACTATTTACCCCACCACCGCCAACACCACGGCACGTTCTCCGACGCGTCGGCAGCCCAAGGGTCCACGGCAACATCAACTACAAGGTTGGCAAAGCAAAACACCATCGGCCGCAGCAGCAGCAGCAGCAGCAACGACGGCGGCGGCGGCGGCGGCGACGACGACAACGACAACGACAACGACAACGGCAACTACAACGGACGCGGACTCAAGACGGTTAAGTCGAAGATCCTTCGTTTTTACCACCAAGACCGAGGTGGCGGTGCTGCCGCTGAACTCGCGTCTGCTGCCAATTCTTCATCTGCAGCGGTGCCCTCGAGTTCTGAACCGAGGGCCGAGGTCGCAGCCAACGCCGCGGGGGGGCTCGGACACACTCGGCCACAAACTTGCTCGGCTGTCGCAGCCGGGGCGAGGAGCTCTTCAGTGGCCGGAGAGAGGTGCTCAACCACCGGGCAGAAGCGGCGGCGGCGGCAGCGGCGGCGGGAGGAGGGGCTACCCGGGGAGGACGTGCGGCGCCTGCTGCTGAGGGCGATGGTCGGATACGACTGGGTGGACGAATTCAACGGCAAGGACGAACGCGTTCGGGGCGCATTTACGGAGCAGGATGTTGTGGTTCTCGAGGTACGGTGGGGAGGTGGCCGTAAACTCGTTTGGTGCTAGCTATCGCTATTGAACCGTTGGCAGTGCATTCTTTCGGGGAACAACATATATTCTCACTCGTGATAGGGGCATCGCCAACGCGAAAATTTCCACGAGCCTGCCACATCCTCATACCCAACTGAAGCTGTATAGGTATCGATCAAGCACCGTTTTTCGTGGTTCGCCGCCTGAACAACATCGAACACAGGAAATATTCTTCCGCTGTGCTTTTGGGGACAACACCGATGCTAGAGCCACCGCTACCGTTTCAGACCAGTCGCTCCGTCTAGATCCGGGAGACCTGTGCGGTGACCTCCGCCGCTTGCAGCTGCAGGTATGCTCTTCTTTTTTTTCGGCACTATCCACTCTGCAAAGGAAGGCTCTTACTGATGAGGCCACGGCATTCCCGTCACATCCTGGCCGGCCTTCTTCAGCCCGAAAACATTTTCTAGTTTCGAAAATGCCGGGGCTTCGCAAGTCTACCGTTGGTCGTTAACAATTGCCCATAGACTGCAGCAGACTAGATGTACCCTAAGTGGTGTGATGACGGTAGCACTTCGAACGTCCGGCGCGATGGACTATTCAGTGCGCCTACCGCTGTTGCGCATCCTGAGGAATAAGTTGATGCCCTGTCACAAGTCGCGATAGATTTGCATGGTTAGGTCAGACGATGCCTTCACGAAACTAATTAACAGAGTGCGGTTCCAAACTCGCCAAGAGTATTTAACGATCGTTTTTTTTGTTTGGTAGCAAGGCCCATCTAAAACATTGTCAGGTGGTCTTGTGGGTCCCCTGCCCCTTGGGCACATAGACAGGGTTCGTGAACCCCTCTACCGTTGGTTCACGATCTCGCAAAGCGCCTCATAACCCATTATTGTAGCGTATCGGAAAGAAGCGGCGGGCAAGTGGTATCCATCTTTTGAGAGAAGCATATCTTGGGAACAGAAGGCTATCAGAGCCGTCTTGATAAAAGGATAGGTTCAACCAGTGAACCGGCCGTTACGAAGCTCGACACGTGCTGTGTACGAAGATAGCGAGAAATACAAATGGTGATAGCTGTCCCTGCCTCTCCTGAATAGTGTTTCTTTATTGCGTTACAGCGCCGGCAAAGACTTGCATTTGGGGAAATATTTCGTCCTGGGAAAGGTTGCATCCTGCGAAAGATGGATGTTTCATCTTTTTCCATCTTCGTTCTTCATGTCCCATCAGTATTTGAAATCAGGGCACTAGGTTGCTGTGAAGCTGGACGAACAGTTGGAAACAACCACTAGTTGCCTATTCTGAGGACCTCCTCAGCCTGACTTGACCTTTCCTTCGCCGAGCGTACCCTGAAATTCGTGGCATCGAAACGTCAAACCTGCACCCGTGCTGACCCATGGTTATAGGTGCAAACGAACCCCGGAGGGAAAGGGAAGACACCGATGCTGCTGGCAGTTCGCGAGAGCCCCAACCTCTTCCAGGTACGTATGATGGTTCCAAGACACTGTCTTGGGGGCGTGGAAACGGGGGAGCCTGCAAGCCGATGGTCACTATTTAGTAGCCAGGAGTGATGGCAAAAGCTGCAATGTGGTACAAACGCTGTTTGAAATTGTAGTGGTAGTACTTGGTCTCGATGTCTGGTTTTGCGTTTAACTCTCCTCGATCTCGGCCACCTCACCCAGGTATGCGCGTGGAGCAGGGCCTAAACCACCACTCTGGTGTCCATACCCAAAGCCCCAACCCCAACCAAAGCCCCGATTATTTGAAGGCGACAAAGCGTCATACAGGTCTTCATCCCTGCTTCCAAAACCTCTCATAACAACACTTCCCACCACCCCGACCTGTATCACAATACAACAGTTGCCCTCTTCCGGCTTTGTAAAGGTTTGAAGACCTGCACTGGTCAAAGGATTGCCCTAAGTTGCAACGGATCCTTGCTTCCGAAATCTCACATGCTGACTCTTCCCACCACCACTACCACCCCCATCCGTATCAAAAACAACAGTTGCTCTCTTCAGGCGTCGTCGAAGCCCTGCCCGACGCCCTCGCCAGGGCGGAAGCCCAGCTGCCTCAGGCCCATCGGCCTCTCGGCCTAGACTGGACCCGCTTCTTGGGGGTGATGGGCCTTTGCCTGGAGAGCGTCTACAGCGGCACGGGGCTCCTGGCGGCCTCCGCCGTCGCTCGACTGTTCGAGGAAAAAACGGACGACAAGCTGGAGTTTCTGACGCGACGTCGCAATCGCCTGCCCCCGCGGGAAACGGTCAACGAGGGTGCGCAGCAGCACAAGGGTAAGTACCGAGGGTTCGAGAGCGCGCCGGCGGTGGTTGGAGCGGACGGGTCCATCGGGGTGGCTGAGGGGACACCACGAGGACCAACGAAGGGGGCGAAGGCCGGCTCCGGTACGACAGGAAGCAGCGTTGCGGCCGGGTCGTACAGCGCTGAAGACACATCGATGCCCGAAGCCGGGTCGTCGATAGGCACCAGAGATGACACTCTTTTCGAAGCAGGAGGCAGCGGGGCCAGCAGGGGTAGCAGGAGACGGGACGGAACACCGGCAACAACGACCAGCGCAAACGGTCACGGCGGCGCGTTGGTGAGCAGACCGGGCGGCCTGGTCTTTGGCGGCGGCGGCGGCGGCGACGCCGACGCCGACGCCGACTATAGAAGAAAACGGCGGGGCGGGGGAGCCGCGGCGCTAAAGTCTCTCCTCCGCCCACAAGCACGGCACGAAGTTGTTCGAGGCTACGGGGAAGCGGTGTGCAAGCGGAGGGAGCGGCAGCGGGAAGCTCTCAAGCGCGCCCCGGAGCCCGACGTGGAGCCTACGCGGGCCTACAAGCCGTGCGGCCTGTGCCAGGCCCCGTTCCCCGTGGAAAGCCTGGGGTCCACGGTCAGCCTGAAAGTTCTTGCGACCTTCTTGGCGATAGCCGGCGCCCCCAGCGAGCGCTTCGACCGCAAGGCGTCCGGGCTGTCTGCGTTGCACCGGTTGCCGCTCTGTGTTTTCTGCGGACAGTTTTTCGACCCCGACTTCCCGGGAGGGGTCATTCCTCCCACCAGGAATGCCGCGCTGACAAGAGGGGGCGGAAGACGCCGCTTGCTGGGCGACGTCTCTTTCTCGTCATCAACATTCTCGTTGGAATCGTCCCTGTTCCCATCTTCGCCGTCTCTCCGTGCTACCGCTGAGGCGAACGGACTCGTTCCGTTCTTCGACGACAGGTTCCCGGAGAGGTGGTCGGAGGCGCCTCCGCCGTCGTCCGCCCCAGCGGGTCGTGCCTCCTCGCTACCGCCGTCTTCTTTGTCGTCGCCGTCGAGACACTTCGATGGTTCGTGCTCGTCCTCGAGTGCGACGGGGCAGCACAAGGGCCACGGGTCAACCCCGTCCTCTGTAGCTAAGCGTCGTGGTTGTGGTGGTGGTGGCGGCGGCGGCGGCGCTGGCGACAGGCAGCACGTGGGCGAAGCGATGGAGTTGAGAGAAATTGGGGGACTAGTACGTCGTGGGTGTTCGATACGCGACAGGCTAACCGTCCCTCCCTAGCCGGAGGGACGACCCCGAAGAAGGTGTGGCCTCGGATCTGCATTGTGAGAGGTCTGTAATGTAAGACCGAACAAGGAGTTGAATAAATTTATTTTTTGTTCGTTGACGTTCGCTGGGCTGTTCGAGAATAAAGAACACGTCAGCTGTGTGAGCTGTTGAGCTTGGGAAACGTCATTAAAGCTGGCAGCTGGCAGTCACCTGTGGGTTGGTCCTGCTGCCTGTTTTCTGTTCATGTTGCGTCACCCCTTGATGGCACTGTGCTCATATAAGTCCACACCAGAGGGATCACTTGTATACCTTAAACCATGAAGCTCATGCCACGAAGCCCTAAGCTAGCAGGACCATACACTGAACCACAAGGATACAAGATGTGGCAGAACTCCTGCACCTCCGCATAACGTCACAACGCATCAGGCAGCGCCAAAGAGCAGTGGCAATGAACCACCACACGGCTACCTCCAAATACCATATGAGATCGACCAGCCGGGTGATGAACCGTTGTTTCGAAGATGTTGCTTAGGGAACCGGTCACGACCTCAACGGCCACCCGATGAGCAGCGAACAAAACTCTTTGAAACCGGAATCTCCGTTGGTACTCCTCACGCACTATGAGTATCTTCCGCGGTTACCCACGAGATCCCCCCGCCCAAGAAATTAGCAGTACATGGTTGTCCTGTGTAGCCTCGTTTGCCCCGTTTACTCCTATTCGCCGACGCTAAGTACGGATGGACGGAAGGGTTTTGTCTTCGTGCTATATAGGGTTTATTGTGTGCCCTTGACGTTATAAACACCACCGCCGTTCGTTGCTACAATATCTAGCACATATGCAAGAGAGATTCTGTGCACGTGGCTGTAGCACCTCATGCTCAACACAATCGATGGGTGTTTGGGTGCGGCAGCTTCGTCAGAGGCCGAAAGAGAAAGAAGATTGACAAGACCTTGTATCAATAACGAGTGAGAGATATGAGGGGGCCCCGCGCATCATATCCATCATACACACATCATCCATGTAACCACCGGAGGCCCCGTAGATCAGTCCTCTGCCGAGCACCCCAAACAATGGAACATGTTGATTGCACATTCAGGAACTATGTACCCTACGCTCGTTGTTCTCTGTCTCATGCTAACCCAGCGTCGGCAATACCCTCGACTTGTTCGTACCAATGGAGCTGACTTTGTGGTTGATGATCTTTTCGGCAACACTCTCAGACTTGACCATGCAGGTCACGATCTCGTCGTCCTCTAGATCACTGCTAAGGCTGTTGATGGTCTCCTGCCGCTCCTCCTTGTGTTGCTGACGGGGACGTGAGTTCGGGTCCGATTTCTTGGTCCTCTCTCCCGGGTGAAACATGCATGACCGCAGCCGGGTTAAGAAGAGCCTGACCGCGCCTGTCACAGCTTCGGGTGCGCCGCTGGAGAGGGAGAGAAAAGCATTGCTCGATGTTCAGCATTCACGTGATGCCACACTATCGCTAAAATTGTCCATGTTTCCATCAGAACAAAACAAAAAGTTCGTGAAAACGTCGGAGGGAATCAAACGCTACTCATCTCTTCATCTGCTCATCGCCGAATTTATTTACCAACCCATGGGGAACCGCACAAAACCAAGGTGCTCCCCCAGTGCTTTGCTATCAAGATTATCCTGGGCTCGAACAGGAACTGCCATTTGCTCTCCGTGGTGTATCCGTTCTCTCTTGGGTTCTCAGGCCCGACGTTCACCAAGTTTTCTGTTCTCTTCTGGCAATAACGACGGGTTTGTCGAAACCTCCAACAAAATGAGTTGGTTTTATCTTCCTCAAATAGTAGTGTAGCCTGCGGTGGAGGTTCCGCACAACGTATGGTCTGAGTGGGGCTGTGCTGAGAGAAGATTGGGAAACCGGCGGTAGCGAGGAGTTCGGCGCGTTTTCATGCACCCAAGCATGTGTTTTGAGAACGCCCATCTCAATCAAAACGAACCGCGATAGTGCAGAAAGGTCCGCCTCTGTACGTGACAAGCTCTAAGCCGGTGCTAGGAAGAATAGGTCATCACCTCTGCTGCGTTGCTTCTATGTACTATCCCGGGGAAAGTGCCCGTGATGCTGTACTCGCGGAAAAGCGCAGTAGAAATGTTGCCCACTTTCAAACTTTTGACCTAGCCCCTAGGCGAGACTACCAGCTTGACCACGTGCCCGACCACACAATTGAATTTGACAGCGCCTAGCGAATTTCCTCATCACTCAAGAAACATCGAGATTTCAAGAGCATCTTGACGACGCACCCACGCGCTGGTATGGGAAACCTTGTTTCTGGTCCACCTCGACAGACTGATGGGAAAGTGTCAACTCGCGACCACCACACGATCGATCTACGTAGTTATCTGCACAAAAGTAGTTTTAGATCTAGGTGCTTGGACAACCACCTGCGACCGACATGCGAAAAATGCTCAAACGAAACGTCATCGGCCAACAGAGTTGGTTTGTGGCTGGTGGGCGCACGTCCCGACTCGCCAAAGCGTACCCGATGGTGCTGCCTGAGCGCTATTTCATATACCAACAGATGGTCTACCTACGTATAGGGTTTTCACCACCTACTCGCACTGTTTATGTACATCGTGTGAATGTCCATGAACCTTCGATGGGTTGCTGACGTGCAACTGCCCTTGCTCATAACAAATCAACAAGGGTGTTGGAGGGTTAACACTCGTCGAACCTTGATATCTTCGACGCCAGGCTTTCGCTTCTTGGTCTCATAGTGGCGATCAGGCTCGAACGGGTAGTGGCGGTGCTCGACATCGATGGCGCCGCGTGGAACTGTGTCAAGCTCATGAATAAGACTGCAGCCGCATGGCCACACAGCATCTGCCAAATTTCACAAGAGAGCGGTCATTGGTGATACCGCCCCCGTAGCGCTCGTGGTATTTTGGGCATCAAGAACGGCGAATCGCGTGTGGTTGTCTAGTCTCATCGAGGTTCGGATCTACCCAAGACCGTTGCGAAGTTGGGTGACAAACGTTTTCGCGGAAGCCTTACCGGCCAACAGGGTGCACTGGATAGCCACATTGACGGAAACCCTAACCTGAGGAGTCCATGCGATGATAGGAGTGGTTCGCCCGAATTGGGTAAGGCGCTTGACAGCAATAGCAACAATCACGACGCAACCGATGCTGCAAAGTGCCAGCGCTTGTTTCCAGAGGTTCTTCTTTGCCTCGATGTAGAACTCGTTCGAGCTAGCTGCACGCTGGTACAGATAGGAGGACGTGCAAGTAACGAGAGCACTGGGACAAAAATTACATTGCGTTGCCTGTACAAGAAACAATGGTGGGGTTGATTGATTTTTCAGCTTTTCGTAGGAGCGCGGCCTACCCAACACGATAAATCGACACACTAGCGGGGCTGTGCAGCATTGAAACACAAGCATGCGCCGGCCCGACGCACTCGCTGGCTAACACTCGCTTTCTCATGTGCACTTGTCGCCTATTGTAGCTTCAAGGAAGCTCAGGGAGATAATGAGACATATTGTTTGGCCGACGGCTGAACTCGGGTTGCCATTTAAGGATCCTCAGAGACCCCGGGGCATGCAATCGTGGAAGCCAAGCTGGCTGACGCTAGCCAGGCGTCCGGCGCAAAGTGACCCGTCAGTGTCAATCAATACTCGAGAATATGCGTTCTCGTCCACGAGCTCAGGCGCTGAGTCGGGCTTCCCACAATGCCGAAAATGTCAACGGGAAGTGCCGTGTAGTGTTTCTGTTATTCTGGTTTGAAGCATCACCCAGTTATGCCTGGAACCAAGGAATCAATTCCGAACACGTACCCATGCATGAAATCAATCATGTCGCCAAATTAACCGGCGACTTCAAACAACCACAATGCATGCAGGCACGTGTCCAATGACATATCCCGATACCAATTTTCACAGGTATTCATCAAGAAAGCAGACATGCTCTTCCAGACCGTGACGCCGCCTTCTGCGAAGCTTCAACACTGTCCCTGCCTGTAAGCACCAGGTCTGGCTTAACTACCCAATGTGTGTTGTCAGCCTAGACTTCGGTTTTTCTTCCTCCTCATTCGAACTCCACACCTACCTCTTACATAGCGCAGTTGATGACGCTCGTGATCCAAACAGCCACGAAGATGATAACTATGCACTAGTCGTGCCAACGTTAGGTGCAAGGAATGGTTAAGGCGTGCGAAGGTGGCAGCAAGGAGCGTGGGGGAAGTCAGTGCTTTCAGAACGAACCTGAAACCTGACACAGCGTTGTCGAGAATGTCTTTTGACCATGACCAATCAATACTGCCCGCTCTCCACGACAGGCATGTCTACTAGGCATCGGGGTCACGGAACCGTGCCTAGTCGGGAGATCAAAACCAAAACGAATAAGAGACACGCCTGAAATTCCGTGTGATTTTTGTTTTGTCCAGTTGTTTTGTGATCAGACCTTCCGTTCTCCCTGTTTGGCCATGTTGGTTTGACAGTTGCGGGCGATGTGGCTGGCACTGAATCGGTCCTGGGCGTATGCGCGTGCCTGAAACCAAATGAGCTGACCGTTGTCTAATAGTTCAAACCCTTCCCTGCTCAATTTGTCAGGAAATATATATTCCCCGAGTTAAGAACGCGTAGCAATCGGCATGCGGTTACTCTGATAGATGCTATTCAACATATGGCGATGATGAAAACACAAACATCGGAAGCGATAAAGACAACAGCAATAGTTCCTCACCGAAATGCTGGTCCCGGACACCACTACAAGATCCGCCAGCAGTGGAGGCCAGAACGCCATGAACAGCGTCAAGATGCCTAGGGTCGATACGACCCCCGCGTTGGGAAACCCGACAAACAAGAAAAGGTTGTGCTTGTGCGAAACCTTTGTCAACCACTCCGCGAAGCTGCCGGGGGAAACCAGCTGGTGCGGTAAGCTCTCTAACCAAAATTCGCCAATCAAGGCGGCGCCCACCGCTATCGACGGCAGCAATACGATGTACAGCACTTGAGCAAAGCCTTTGTCCTGATAAGAGTATCTTTCC